CGGGCGATGAAGTGGGTTGGCGGTACTGGCGCCACCCGGGAAAGCTAAAGCTTTAGGCTAGCGCGCTCCGCGCTGGACCATGACGGCCATGCCGGTCTTTAGGCTAGCGCGCTCCGCGCTGGACCATGGCGGCCATGCCGGAGTTCCCGAGCAGATTTCTGCGCCGCAGACCCTCTGCGAGTGCGTACTGCTAGAGAACCGGACCTGCAGACTGCTTTTGCCCTTGAACAAGGTGCAATTTTCAACTGCGTGCCCTTTCCTCCTTTCTTATTTCAGTGCATGTCTACGCCCGAAATGAACGAAATGAGCGATATACACACGCATAAACCCACTTCATGTATATGCACACCTGAAACACACATCCACAAAGTATCAAGTGTCTCCACCACCAATCAATGCCTGTAGAAAGGCTGGCATCCAACATCCACTACCCGTTCAGTCTGTGTTGAAGCCAGCGCCTCAGGCTTGCGAATGCAACGTGCTCAGACTCTGCATCATGCACGACGAGGTGTCACGCTATCACAAGTTCACCATAAGTCGTATGTCCGGTGTGGAAACCTTTTTCAATACCAGCAAGCAAAAGGAGTGGATCTCCATTGGTCCATGTCTTAAACTGCAGTCCTAATGCCAAACTTGCTCCTCAACCATATGATACATAAAATCTTCATGTTGAAGGCTAGGGGTCCAGGCTAACCCATTTTTCACAAGCCCGAGGCTCCGGCAGCCGCGAAGCCCTGCCGGGTTGTGCCAGCTGACAAAGAGTCCGGGGACCTTTCGTGAACTTTCCGCGCAGTCTCTCCCAAACTACAACTCAACGTGGAAAAAATTGGCGAAAACTATGGACTACTCCCACATACTCTTGCCATGAAGAGGGGGGATACCGCATGCTCTCGGTTCGAATGTGCCTTTCTAACATTTGCAGGTACTGTTTCCGTTGTTCGCGTCCGGCCAAAGGACCGGAACATGACCGCTGACGGCCAAAGGACAACCTCAAAGGCCCAGGACAAGCTAAGATCAGGTCTGCAACAGCAGGAAGTGCAGCTTTGGACATCACGAAGCGTAATCCGACACGAGCGCAATTGACCAAGCCGGTGCCCTGAGTCTTGAAACCGAATCCGAATCCCTCGACCTGGACACGCGAAACCCAAATCCCTGAACCCTCCCAGAGTCCGTAACTTCCACCAACTAAATAACTCAGCGGATTTTTCCCACCCGCCCAGCTGACAATAGCGGATTAGGGATTAGGGTCAAGCCGGAACCTCACGGACATCGGAAGCTCCGAAGGCCAAAGCACTCAAGATTCAAAACTAGAGCCCTAAACGCTAAACCCTAAACCCTAAACCCTAAACCCTAAACCGTGGACTAGAGCCTGATCTCGGAACCTTGGCCCGGCTTCCTACCACGAGGCCGAAGGCTTCGAAGGGTGTCGAGCAGGATTTTGTGCATCCAAACTATACAAACTGCTTCCAGACTAACTCAGTTTAGGGTTTAGGGTTTAGGGTTTAGGGTTTAGGGTTTAGGCACTAACTCTACATAGCTAGGCAAAAAACAAGCTAGTTTCAGCAAGCGTCCGCTATCATTAGTCTCTTTGGATGTCTTCGGTGTCTAGACTCTATAGAGACCTAGACCCCAACAAATCCTGACATGTGATGTCTGAATCCTACCTATCCCTGCCTAGGGCCTGGGGGCTCACTGGATACTCTAATGATCTTCGTATTACAGTGAACGTCCTGTATAAGAACCCAGTGTTTAAGAACCTTAGCCCATACCCCCGGCGGGATTCACAAAATTCAGCTTGCTTCGATATTTGACTGTACGTAGTACTTACAGGCTATAACCAGGGCAGTCTCAGATGCACCTCCCGGACAGGAGACGCATCGGCTCGACCTCTCCGTGAAGACTTCGATCTCTTTGCGTCGTCTTTGGCTTAGTATAGGGGTCTGAATAAGTACCTCTACTACTTTGGGGGTCCCTTTTTCTAACTATAGTAAAGTATACCCCCAAACTCCATTCTCATAATTAAGGCCCCTATATTGGGTGTTTCTCTGCTTCGGATTACCTTCCCGAAGTTTCGACTCTTGCAAATCGGAGTCTCCACAAAAGGCTGTAAGGTTACTTGAAGGTGGAACGGGCTTGAAGGCAGCGCTTTCAGCGAGACCTGTGTTCTCGACCTACAGTTTACAGGAGTACTCTGTTGACAAATTGGGGGTTTCCGAATATAGGGGACCCTAATATTTTTTCCCTCCCGCCTTAGCACCCTAAATAGTAGGGCCCTGATTATAAGGACCCAAAATCAAGTACCCTAATATTCGGAAACTCCCATTGAGGCGTGGCGAACTTGGGAGCTTAGCGCGTGGTGCTTGGGGGCTTTCCGGCCATACCTAGCTTCGACTTGTAAGGCTAAGGACGTACCCCTGCCCTAAGTGCAACTCCGCTTCAAGGCTATGAGCTCAGGGCCCAAGTTGCAGATGGCAGCTGTTTCGGGGCTTAAGGTTTAGGTTTTGACTCGGATTCTGTAGCCACCCTAAACTTTGATGATGCCTCGGCTTTAGGCATTTGGCCTGCCCACTCAGAGTTGCGTGAGCCCTTTACAACCTTCTGTTAGGGCCCATTGTACGGCTTTCGGGTCGAGGCTTTGTTTGGTTGGTCTAGGTTTGAAGGAGTTCGTTCCTGTTTGATGCATGACACGTGTGCACGACAGCTGAAGCTCTGCAAGCTCATGCCGACAAGAAATGACACCAGTGATGCAATGCAACACTTGGAACATGAGAAGTTCTCTGCTCTAACCCTGGCGTTCGTGCAGGCTCTGCATGAGTGAACGTCTGCATCGCACAGCTACTGGAGAGACGAACCTGCGCGACAAACGATGAGCAAATACAACTCGCTGAAACATATGATTAAGCAAACAAACGCATATAGAAATGCATATATATATATATATATATGTGTGTGTGTGTATGTATATACATGTGTATGTATGTATATATATATATATACACATAAATATGCAACATATCTATCTATTTACTTGGCAAGTTACACACAAAGTGCGTATACACACCCTGCAAATTGACTGCCAGACTCTTGCCCTGTTTCCCTGAACCGTGCAGCTACTAGAACCTCATGCTGCACAGCCCTGGCCTTTCAAGGAAGGTTGTGGCGTTCCCTGCAGCCTGGCCTCAGAACTGAACGGAGGAATCTTTGGAACTCAGGTTAAAGGAGCTTTAAGGCTATTTGGCTTTATAGTCTAAGAGAGATTTGGACTAGAGAGTGGATAAATTCTGGCTATCTACAGGCCTGGCTCTTTCCTGCTTATGCAGATTCTAGGGAAACCTGATGGATGTACTGCTGAGTATGTTGTTCTCTCGCGCACTTTCTTTATGGCCCTGTGTCTTCATTCGACGTATGCCTTATGATTTTCGCATCGTGCGAGAGGGGCAAGTCATAGACTTATTGAGCCTATCATGTGCGCGATGAACGCTGCCGCGCCGAAGTTTGCGAACGCACAGTTTGAATAGGCCTATTCCTAGATGGTCCTAGCACCTAGTACAGAAATGAAAAAAAGTTACACCCCATGACAGAGACCCTCCACCACTCCTCAATATCAAGGAAAAAGCTTCCAGCGGGGTCTACCTGCAACCTAGTACGCTAGGGAGCCTGCCTCGGTCTCAAGAGCCGGAGCAAGCATCTTTTGCAGTGGGATCAGCTCTGAGTCTGCTCATCTCAGGCTGAGGCCAGCAGAACTTCAAAGCAGTAGACACAAAGATCCTGCCAGCTTCTTGGACTTTGGACCGATTGCTTCGGCTTGTTTGCATGGACAGGGCTTACCGGACCTCATTTCGGACACCTTCGGAACTGCAGCTGAAATGGTGTTGTCAAGCCCCGAAACCATTTGATGTGATGTGGCAGGAGGAATGACAGGTCGAAGCCTTGCACGTACCATTTACATCACATCATAAACGACGCCCCTGATTAGCTCCGCAGCCTCCTTACTCTGAGACCTCGTGTGCGGAAACGGGCTGCAAGGTATACATGATGCACCCGTCTTGCAGACACATGGTGAGGACAAGGTTTCAATGGATTCTCGGTTGTTCAGACCTGTCATGCTGAAGCGTTTTCGGTCGACCGACCTGACACGAAGCCACAGGAGCTCATCCGTCTTCGGGAGCCATCTACGAACCTGTATCTCACACCACCCTGCGCTGCAAGACAAGCTACTCTAGGCGGACAGGCCTGGGTTGCGGACGACCTTGCAGTGAGAGCTACGCCACTACCCTGCAAGCAACATCAACTCAACAGGCCTTGGCTGTCCTATGAGTTCTCCACTGAGCGTGCGACTTTGAAACATAGCTGATGTGAAGGCAGCGTAACATACAATTGTACGTCAGTACGAGTATCATTGAAAGCTAATCGTAAGGCACTCTATCATCCAAACCAATGATCCCGAATAGAACCACTGCCACTATGAAGTTCATGTTCCTGTACACGGGACCCTGCTCTCCCGCGTGGCACAATGTGGCACCAAAGGCCCATGCCTTCAACCTCAAGCCTTAAGACCATCCTGACCTACAGCCTACAGCGTTCAACTTCTTGAACCGAACCAAGACGAACATGCCGAGAGCTCGGACTCGACACTGAAGCAGGACTGTGGCCTTGCTAAGGATGCTACAGCCATGCCTAACTGAAGGCCCATGCCCTGCCGCCCCAGGACATTCAGCCGCCGGGAGGGACGAAAGATGTAGATGCCCAGGGCAGGTAGACGGTTACGCTGGCTCGCCAGATGAAGACATTCCTTTTTTGCTTGTTGCCTGGACTGCTGGTTGCAGCTGCTTCGGGGAAGAAACACGTCCATCACCGCTCATTTAGCCTGAGCGCCCTGCGTATCATCGCTCAGGCCGGGCCGGATGCCCGTTAATGGTGCAGATGCTGCCTGCTGCGGTGAGCCCTGAAGGGATGCAAACCTGTAAGCTACTCCACCACCTTCCTTGATGAGAAGTGCCTTGATGTCAAGTCTTCCAGCTATGAGTGTCTGACAGGGATTTTGCAAGTGTGGCTCACGGCGCCTTCTCCTAGCATTACTAAATCTTCAGACTTGCCCTGCAGCCCCAACATGGTTGAGGGTTTGTCTAGGGGAAGGTATACTCGGTAAATAATCACGTAACTCTGTCGTCGTTTAAAACCTGCACGATAGCGGAGGGTTTTAAGCTGCGGGGCACGTACACATGCGACCGCTGAAGAACAAGCTGCAGGATCTAAACCGCAGGATGTGTTTGAAACCTATAATACGGCACCAGGAGCAGCATGCCCAGCTTTCCTTGCCAGTCATATGGTTCGGCTACTGGCGACCACCCCGCCAACAACTAATGCAGGTCGCCGCTTGAAAGGTCCCTAACCCAAGACCCCAACTACATACCTTCTATGGCTGGAAAATTCCACAGAAAGTTTGTGTACTGGGATTCTTGCTGGACTCACGGGAGCACCGGGAAATGTTCGTCCAACCTGCAGGCGCCGATGGGGCGATATGTCATGGGATCACGGCTACCCGAATTAGGGCTTATAAGGGGTTCGATCAAGATAACAACGTAAACCGAAAAGGTTGCAAGATCAACAACTATAGTTTAGCTAGTGACCTTTCTTCGAAGAGTCAGAGTGATGGGTTCTGCATCCCTATAGGTCAAAATGCTCAGGCCTCGCTGGTCTTCTGCATGACGGCATTGCCCAACTGCCGGCCCCTAAATCAAAGCTAAATGGGGTTCAAAGGCCAACTTTTCGGCGTGTCTAGGAGGGCTACCAGTAGAACCTCAATGCCAAGAGATCCGGTCTCCGTCATCATGAGGCTGTAAGCCTCGACTCAACATCACATGGCTCAACAATGAAGTGAAGTAAAAGGATGGTCTCTTAGCAAGCTGGGGCAGCAACTAGGTTTAGCGAAGGCTCCAGAACAACATGAATACCTGTGACTACGATGGGTGGGCAAATGCCTAGCGGTCCATGCATAATATCTGCAGATGGTTCGCAAGCGCCAGGTGATCATGCATTTACCCGATAAAGTCCCAAACAAATCGCTTGCCGATCACCAGGAAAAAACAACCAAGTCTGCTGAAGGCTCAAGTTGGCCCACTGGTTGTTGTTAGGGCTTGCACGCAAAGCCACACGTAGCATCTGTACAGCGTCCTCAAATGCTCAGGAAACAGCAAATTCCCCGTTGCTTCTCCACTCGGCCGAACATTCACAGGGGTGTGGCAATCTTTGGCATGCAGGCTCAAGGCTTCAAGAGTTACAACCACATTTTGGGCATCATTGCTGTTGGGATTCTGGGCTGTGGCGTAATAACACTTGAATGTCTCCGTCCCAATGCCAGCATATGGTTGTCTGTTGCTGCAAACTTAATCAAGACAAGCAAACCCCAATGCCCAATCTAGAAAAAACCAGACCCTGAAACCGAAATTTCTACATGAGGGCTTTTTGTCAAATAGGCGAAAGTATGACTGCCGGCAGTCTGCTGTGTCAGAAGGGACTGGCCTCGGCTCCAAGCAGCTGCGACTCAAGTCCCCAAACACAACGAGGCTAGGGCGTTTAAGTAGACATGGGTGCCTGAGATACACACACACACACACACACAACTCTAAGTCGTGTACTCACGCAGCACAAGCTGGTGGCGACAGAATCCAAAAAGGAGCATCCAAAGGAGCATTCCCACAGGTGGGAGATTGAAGCTTGACGGGTGCTCACAAGACCGAGCACTCATCCCTTCGAGACCAGAAATCGTTGCTGCTGTTGCTGGAGAAAGCAATCGACAGCAAACGACAGGTTTACTGCAGCAGCACGTCGCGCAAACTGAAGAGAACCCCCACATGCAACCCTAAACACTTCGATGCGGCGTGCCACACGATAGCTGGGCTTTCCGGACTGCGCTTGCCGCCTGTTTCGGCGTGCCGCCGCCGACTCGGACGCCACCACCGATAGGAACGCCGCCTTCGGGTCCAGGGCTTTGGCATTTAGGATGTGCGGTTGCTTCGCTGTCTCGGCTTCGGGCTTCAAGCTTCTTAAGGTCTAGGTATCTTTACCCCGGACATATATTCGATCGCAGAACCACAGATCTTCAAGCACTGCAGCATATCCCCAGGCAGAGTTGGTTGCTCCGGCTTGCAAAGGCTTATGTCCGTCATCGCCATGCCGTGTCGCGAGGACCACAGACTAACCCGGAGCAACAGCAAGTTCCTAAGTTGCACCAGTTTTTTTGGCGATTTCGGGGGAAATCATCAGGTGCAGCTGTTCACGTGTTCACACCTGAAGGTGCCAAAAAAAACGGCACTCCGAACCTGCTGATACAGTCCGTCCGATTCAGCACTTGTCTTGCAAACCAGGTGTTCACAACCCTGAGTCGGAATGCTTATGTTCCGGAGAATTGGCCCTAAATCACATGTTGCATGCATACATTTTTCTGACTACACTGTGACTACACGTCCCACCACCCTGCTTATATGTTTGCAGCTTGTTCGTCCTCCCGCCCTTAAATACGTATATATATATACACACACACACAAACAGATAGATTTTTAGCACTCGCGCAGATTTAGATATATAGGTAGATCGATACGTAGATAAACAGATGATAGGTTTGTAGATAATTTTGTTATAAGCACACACTGACAGGCCACCTAACCTACCTGTCCGGCAGGGGAAATGTACACATCACTGCCCATGTTTGACCTCCCCGGCTGCCGATGTTCAGGCCGGCCGCCTGTCTCGCACAACTCTGCAAAGCATGCATTGTTGCTTGCTCACTTACATGATGATACTTACTCTGGGTAACCACCTATCATCGGACAGCACTTATCACCGAAATCCATGCACTGCATTGCTTTGCACACCATCAGTTGGTGCAACACACGATTTGATTCGTTTGACCGGAACTCTATTTCTACTGGCTTGAATTACACATTGCACTACGGTTGGCACTAACCATCGATGGTAATGCTTCCGTTGTGGTTAATGCCTTTGCTCTTGTTTTCGGGTTTCCTGTTCACTTCAGTAGAACGCTTATTGAATTAAAGTCGTTGTGTGGGATGTTTACTAATACCTGTATCTGTCATGTTTTGCTTTGTTAACGCACTTCACCAGCTAAACAGGAAATGTCAACCCTATACATTGGGCTCAGACTGCACAACCGCACGCGCTTCATTGGCATCCGGATCAGGCATCATGGTACTCCGGGCTGAACTTACCAAGAACCCTAAACCCTAAACCCTAAACCCTAAACCCTAAACACTTACCCAGAAACCTGAAGGCTACGAGGTTTGTCTTCGGCCTCAAGCCGGACATTGTGTGCAATGCCTGCTGTCATGGCAGATGCCTCTACGAGTCGAGTACGCTGGGGGTCATACTGGCTAGCATGTTTAGTCTGTTCCAAATGCGAGCCCAAAGTTAAGTCAGCAGTCTAATTCCAGGTCCTAAACCTATAAGCCTACGCCACAAATTAGCCACCCAGCACTGGCCTTGGCTGGGGATGCGGAACTGCTGGCGGGTGCCGTACGCCTTAAAGCTTCGCAGCAGGCCCACATACATGTGCATTGATTGGGTCAACTGCCAAAGTAATCACCTGCTCGAAGACAACCACATGGAGGGCAGTAGACAACTGGCCTGAAAGGCCGAAACTAGCTAATATAATATAATATAATATAGTATAATAATATAATATAATATAATACAATATAATATAGTATAATATAATATATAATATATGACGGAACCTGAGAGCCCTGGAGCCTCAAATGCGAGTCTTTGCTCCACGCGGGGAAGGTGCAGAACTCGTTGCAATGCTGGGCCTTGGCTCGTGCTGTCGGTGTGTGGCATCGTGCCACAGAGCTAGCAAACCCGGTATCGTCGAAGCTCTCTTGGCAAATGAGAACGGGAGCTAATAAACTATCAATACCCAGATTGCTGCTAGCGTCGTCATGATCGATGGTAAGTAATTAGCAGGTCATGGTGGCAGTATGACGTTACACTTTGCATCTTGAAGGTCTCCGCGGCAACTTCATTCCAAGGAGATTCCGTTCACTGTCTCTCTCTCTATATATATGTATATGTATATATTATATATTTCTATAAAATATATATAATATAGAGCTGTATACTGTATATATATATATATATATGTATATATATATATATGTTTCACTAGAGACGCACCTGATAAGAACACTCACGTTCACCGCCTCAGCTTTGAGATCAAAGTCAAGCACCAGGCTCGCGCTGGACGGACACGGGGGTGGCTGCGGGGCTTCCCAACGTAAGTGACGGCCTCAGGGAGACTCAGCCATGGCTCGAATAAGTTCCCTATAAGGATTAGGATTTATGAGGTTGGGGCTCTCTTTGGTCGGTTTGAGTTTGGAGTGAGAAATCATAGTGCACGCCCCGAAAGAAGGTCTCAGGCGGGCACACTGAACTACAAGAAGTCGGCTGTATCTGCGAACCGTTACAAATTGAGGGCAATTGCTTCCTAGCTCTCATGTCTTAGAAGATTAGTTGTCATCAATGTGTATGCTGGCGTCCTCGTTGCTAAAGATGTGCAACCTTATCGATGTTACTGCCGCAAACTCTGCTCCTAAGTTTGAATGTTGACTACCATCCCTTCTACCTAAACCCTATAAATCCTAAACCCTAAACCCTAAGCCCTAAACCCTAAACCGTAGTAAAACTGATGTTTGGTCACAAGGCTTTGGGGCTACGGGAAGCCCACAGATGCGAAATGGAGCAGACAGGCGCCGGGCGGCTTGGGCAATGTTTGCTGCGAGCCCACCGTGCTTGCAGAGGACCTTGAGCTGATGCTAAAGATTTTGGTTGCCTCACGCCTTGCTAGGATTGGGGCTTCAGGCTTCAGTCTTGGTTCGCCTCATCGCCGTGAGGATTGAAAGGTCCTTGCGTCAATGCTGCCAGCACCACTTGCCCAGAAGATCTTGTCGGGTATTTGGTTCTTTCGCTGTCTAACCGTCGGCGGCTTGCAGCCAGAACAGAATACAAGTAAGGGTTCATTCGGCCATCCGAAAAGTGCCCCAAAATGGCCCTAAAACCTGAAACCTGCGCCTCAACCCTACATGCCATACAAACCTCACGCCCTCTTTGCCCTAAGGCCCATGGTACTGGGATGTACCGGGTAGCCCCGCATGGCAGCTGCGGGATAACCAGGGCCCTCGCCTTGCCTGCTGCACTTGTCGTGGATTGCACATGGAGATCGATTAATAGGGTCTTAATATCCAAAGGGTCCATGTTATAATATGGTATATACTTTTGGGTCCCAAATACCTACAAAGTAGCTACCATATTACTACTTGGACCCTTTGGGATAGTCAGAATAGGGTTTTGGATGGTTTTGGGGTATATTATACGATAGTTGCAATAAGGAGCCCCCAAATTGTAATAAATAGACCGGTATAATACCGTACAGTACTACTGAACCATCGTCATCATGAGTATGATCATCATCATCAGCATCAACATTCAGCTATACATGTATCGGCAGCTGTTCCCAAGTAATCCGCTGTCGGCTGTTCTTACACTGTCCGTAACGTGTTATTTTCTATTTCGCTAGTACAACTATATTAAAATTAATTAAAATGCGCATGCATGGGTTGTTCTACCCTTCTTGCCAGGAACTGCGCTGCAACTGGAAAGACGAAAATGCCGCCACGGCTACCTGTGCCTGCGTCCCATCGCTTTGTGTCAGGGCAGCAGTTGGATGATAAAGAAACGAGTCTTATAGTCTGGATTCCTTTCAGGTATGTCTTCGAATACGAGCCCAGCCGGACAGTAGCATGCCAACAAGCACTGAAGTGCGCCAGAGCTATTCTTAATCTTGTGAATCGAAATGGGCGCCGTAGACCTCAATCAAACTTTGGGCCCAGCCTCAACTATGTTCTCGGCCTCAACCCTACAGTCCCCAACCTCAAGGCCGCAAGTGCTCAACTTAAACCTCGAACCCCTATTGATTCAAAGACGAAAAGCCGGCCCCCAATTAAAAGCGCCTCGTTTGTGCCGCAGAGAGCCGGGGCGATGCTACCGGCGTGGCTGTGCGAGGTGTCTGTGGCGCACCTCAGTGTGGGGCAGGCTTGGGGATGAGGTAAATGCTTTATGGGGCGTGGGATTCGGATTTTGCTTGGCGGACTTGGAGAGCTTCGGAGCCGTGCAGCCAAGGAAGACCTTCAGGGGCATTATGTAAATCGTCGCGAACCCTTCAACCCAGCCTCAAGCCACTTTCAACCCCCTGAAAAAAGCCTCCAGCCTTGAAGCCCCTGAGTTTGAATTCTGAAGTCAACTCCGAAGCCTGAAGTCCCTCCCTCCTGGACTCCCGTAAAGGCCAAGTCTGACACTGGCGGCAGCGGCCACCACAGGGACCTGTGAGGCGGCCTGGGATGCTGGATCTCAGGGCTCCAGTCTGGAGCGCTTCTCAGGGTTTATTGCATGGATTGCAGGGTGCCGGGGCTGACGGCTCAGGAGAGTGGGACGGTGGCGCAAGCTTTACGGTTGAGGTCTTCTGGCGCAGGTAGGTGTAGGGGAGGTGGGTGGGTTTGGGTGCCTGGGTGCCTGGGTGGATCGGTGGGTGGGTGGGTGGGTGGTGAATGTGTGTTCATGTGTGTGTGTGTGTGTGTGTGTGTCTGGACCGGGGGGGTGTGGGCTGGGTGCACTTCTAGGGTGTTAAAAGGTGACTGCATGGCAGAGTAGGCACAGCATTGACATAGTCTCACTAGCACACTAGCAACACTGGAAATGGTTGGACAAGCAGGCTGTCATCATGACAGACAGTCATGGCGAACAGTAATCACAGGAATGTCACTGAGCACGTAATCGGGCATGGGATGCAAACATGTTAGAGTTCAGCAGCATAGAAAGGTTCATGGCCGGAATACCCTGAACCCTGAGCGAAGGCCTACCGACCGTGTCTCGGCTGCCTAAACCATACATCCTCACCCCGCAAGCCTGATCCCTACCTGAAACGACCATGCCAAGTTTTTGGAGTGCCCTACACACTCTGCATTGTAGGGCTTAAAAGCGGACCCCCACCAAAATGAAGCACGACGGCTTCCTCACGCCTACAACAAAACCGCTAAAACCTTCGAGGCCGGTAATTTCCAGTTTGAGGGACCTTCAACTGGGTTTCGACCGACACACTCGCAAAAACAGGCATGGCAATAAGTCTCCGAAATTGCTACGTGGACATACCGAGAGAGCATTGTATTGCAATGCAACGTATGAACAACAGAGAGTATAAAACAGACCGAAGCCAGGTACCGTCGTGTGGGTGTTACCGATCTCAATGCCCACAGTTCTCAGCTGTCCTTATGTCCTATCCGGTAGTATGTTCACCACTGTTCTATTTCAAAATAGACAAGACGTCTAACTCAAGACAACACGCGTTGTAGAGACCGCTAGAGCTGATTGCAGCGGCGAATTCGAAGCAGCCGGGCCGCCCTCGGCACTCGTTGCAGCAGCCACCATGTCCACGGCGGAAACGTTGCGAATCCATCGCAACAGAACGTTTAACAATTGGACACGAAGCCATGCTTGCGCACAGCTGATGTGCTCCCGGCAAAGTAAGCCGCAGTTCTTGTGGGCTCGCATGCCTCCGTCTTGTGCTGCCCTCTCGGCTCGTCACGATTTGCAGCGGATCTTCGTGTAGAACGCAATGGAGTTGCCCAAGAAGGCGTCCTGAGCCAACTGCTCCACAGCTCGGTCGGTAACGAAACCAAACGCTGCCGGCGCCGGCTCCTGCGGAGATGCCGGTGGGCCGAAGGATGTCGGGCCCAGGCGCTTGCGGATGGCCAGCAGCGGCAAATGCAGGGCCAGCGTGCCATGTCCAGCAATCATCGGTCGCTCTGGCGTGCGCAATTCCGCAATCAAAAGCCCATCGGACGACGCAAGGATCTGCTGCGGAGGGCCCTCCCATGGTCTCAATGCTTGGAGGCCCTCCGAGGAAGCTCGCTGCAGGCTCTGCTGTCATCGCCTTCTCACGGAGCTTGAGTCCTGGGATGCCCGGCAGCGCCGCCGGGCCATGAAGTCCTCTACCTCACGGCTTGGAACTGCCGGCAGGCTAGGCGGATTACTCCGGAATCGACGCCTGGGGGACTGAAGAGGTGGCGGTGCTCTCCGGGGACCTCCTGGCTCGATTCTGTGCTCGCTTCTGTGCTTTGCGAGTCATGTCCTGCTCCAGAGCCTCAGAAATGGTGGGCCAGTCGAAAGAAATCAAGCTGAAGGTGGTCGCCATCTTTCTGCCAGATTCCAGATCAGCTTGTTAGAAATGCTCGTCGGGCGTTCAAAAGCCAGGTGACTTGAGCCAAAATGGCTATGGAGGGTTTCGGGTTTAGGGAACCTTAAACCCTACAGTTTGAGAAAAAGACTTAAACCGCAAAATCCTTGACGGTGAGGAGCTGTTCCCGTTTCACCACAATCTTCCGGTACTATTCAGGCTCTCTGAATCTGGATGCCGTAAACGAACCAGAAAGGGGACCAGCCTGCCTAAACCCTGAACAGCTTGAAACAACCGAATACCCTGCAAGCGCCAAACCCCATAACTTCATATCACTTCTACAAGCCCTGTCAAGCCTAAACCCTATAGGCCCTATAGCGGATCATGTCGCACTTGGGGCAAAGCTGCAGAAGATGCCGATGCTGGTGTTCCACCGGCGGCGGCCTGAGATGAGGGAATGCGAGACCCAAGGTGCCAAACAGGACCTTAAAGCCTGCTTCAAGTTTAGCCCTTTACAGGTGGTCTTAATTGTGGCGAACATCGAAGCATGCTTCATGGTAGGGGTCATTCGAGCGAAACATCCTAGTCCTAGCTTCTGAGATATCGGCCAAAGGCATTTCAGACACTGAGCCCAAAAACTTCACCTGAAGCCAAATGTTACGAGACCCACCTTCGCGGGTAAAGGCGCGGAGACACCAAGCAGCTGGGATGTAGGAGCCTCCGCATGTTGAATGATGCGTGGGATACCGGCATTTGAGTAAGACCGTTTCCCAGCTCGGGATACCTGCAAAGTTACTTCGTTTTCTTCTTCTTCTTCGAGCTTTCGAGTACTGTTACATGTGGCGCTTGATGCTTGGGATGACCTCCAGGACAGGACTTTCACTTCTGTAAGATGCATGATGCAAAGGCTTCATGGGCTTCAAGACATGATCAGCATGCCGTCAAGCCCGCATTCCCACGAATTTGTATCTTTCCCCGATAAGTCTATGAGCAGTTCTCCCCTCGTGAGCGCACGTTAGTGCACAGCAGCTGTAGATACTGTAGCTGCTGGTTGGCCATTGCCAGATTCAAGCAATCCGCAGCTGGTACAACCATTCAGCTGGCAAAATCACATTGCGGAAAGATTGGCCGCAGGTTGAGGTGGGCCACCCACTCTTGATTGATGGAAGCAGGGATTTGGTGTAACTAGCTTGCATGATCTGTCTGTGTAGACAAGAGCAGAGCACGGTACCATTGCCGACTATGGATGCAATGCCCCCACTTCGAGATGTTGCAAAATAGAGCACCCACCAAACAAACCATCGGACAGCTTCACAAAATTCGAAAATTAAAAGCTTCCGGCACAATGGTCAGAAGCACTGCCATTGGCAGATGCGATCTGATAACATGTTGTGCCGAAAATTCTTACGCAGACAAGACGGCGTGGCCCTCTCGCCAGTGACCACCGCTCGCGGAGGCAGCGGTGTTGGACAAAAACATGCGAAGCTTACACCTGGTCTGCCGGCAAC